TGATGTTTTTGCACTTTTCTCCCTAGTTTTACTCTCCAGATATTTAATTCTGCACGTCCTGCTTGTTCTGTAGCCACCCTCCGGTTACTCTCTGTTTCTTATCTTCCCATCACACACTCACACAAACAATTCAACCACATCTTGTCAAAACTCTTATCAGGTTCTCTTTGAGTCAGCCAAGCCTTGATATGTTATTTTCCCCTTTCCTTACTGGTATTTAATTTTTTTTTTTTTTGCCTTGTCAGAAGTAAATTTCCCTCTGGACAGAAAATAATGATTGTTTTTCACAGAAAAATCACATACAGAAAAAGTATTACTATTTTTCCTTGTTGACTTGCAGCTTGTCTGGTATACCCATACTTAGACCCATACTACAGCTATAACTGCTGTGTAGCTAACTGTGGTGGAATGTGGTCAACCTATCTGACCTGAAACTGAGTAAATGATACCAGTTAAGGTGGCATCAGGTGGAGGACTTTACATAAACTAAGGATTTATGAATCACTGGTGTCTACTTAAAACCCATCCTCACTCCTAGTTTGACAGTTTCATATAACCAGCCAGAGGTGCATCCATTTATCTGTAGCTATTGTCCCCTTGACAGCTTAAACTGATCCCTGGAGCTGCTGCCATGGCAACAGGACAGTGTCCAATTGCAACCACAGTGGACCTGTGATTGGTTGGAGAGCTGCTGGATTTGTAGTTTTTAATATTGTTGCAGTGAACTCTGACTGGCAGCCCGCCTGGAAGACACACACACACACACACACACACACACACACACACACACACACACACACACACACACACACACACACACACACACACACACACTGGAAATGGCCTGATGTCACACCCAAGGGACCTCCTGACAGCTTGATTGATATATGTGTATGTATTTATATGTGTGTGTGTGTGTGTGTGTGTGTGTGTGTGTGTGTGTGTGTGTGTGTGTGTGTGTGTATGCATATGGCGATAGTGTAATCCCGCCTGTCTATCCAGCACATCCTTTGCCCCATTAGTGCAACCTCTCAGTCCAACAAAGACCTTAGGCTTGAAACACAGTGCCAATTAAGAATGGAGTGGAGGACTGTACCGCAGTTGTTATTCTTTAGATGTCCAGTAATGAGCTGGCTGCTGCAGCGGCAGTCTGTGTTGTGGCCACAGTGATGGATGCTGTTGGTGTTTTTCATCGGACTGCTGCAAAAACATTTGAATGAACCACAGCTCTCTCAAATGTAGTGCACATGACACAAGACCATCTAGATTTATTTTGTTCATCCCTCTTATTTACCTCAAATCATAGCTCGGGGAATGACTTGAGAATGCCTGCTTTGTAATTAATACAATCGTTTGCAACTGAAATACAGCAGGAGCTTTAATGATACTACCATGTGATGATGCCCTCAAGTGGGTAACTTTATCTCCTGACCCATGCTCGTTTACTGTAACTCATTAGCCTCACACACACACACACACACACACACACACACACACACACACACACACACACACACACACACACACACACACACACACACACACAGTATGACTCCAAGTGGTCTTTGCCCATCAAAATGACCTGTATTCTTCAGCCGTGGCTCACAGCGACGTCACATAATGACTGAATATACAGATACACACTGTGCTGCGTAACTCACTACAAAAAAATAAACTTTGTGTGTGAATCAGCTGCTCAAGACAGAAATGTGAGTTTTCTGTATGTTTTCTACATCATGGTATTGAGTTAACCATGATACTGTATAGAGGGCTGATGGGAGAAAAATCAAAGAGGAAACATCACCAGCCTTCAGAACGGCTAGAGTGTTCCTTGGTGTAGACTTTCCAAGTGTATGAAAGTCTGAAAACTGGAGGGATGAACAGCGTCCTTGCAAAGGATTTTCTCTTATGCTGTGTTTTTATGATGGTGGTGAAGAGAGCTGTCAAATGTAGGTCTCGCATAGCTGGTTAGTTGGGTGGAGATGTGGAGATTGTGAAGGCCATATGCCCTTATGCCCTGTCTGGAAACATATGCGTATTTCCTGACATTTCATAGACTATAGACTATAGAGAGAATAATCTGCAGATTATATTAAAATAACCGTTAGTTGCAATGCTATACAATATTTACAATTTATATTAAATGGTATGTTTGCTACAGAGATGTTAGACAACGGTTAGTTCCGACCAAGTAACTTGATTGGACGAGAGGCATTCCATGAGTGCTGATAAACAGCACTGGGACTTTTAACTACATGTATCACTCCGCTTCACAGGTGTTCTATTAACCATTAATCAGTGTTACATTAACGGTCGTTATCTATCTCAGATTACAACAAACTTTGCAAAGATGAATTTCCAGAAATAATTTTTGAATTAAATGATGTATGGTCGTCAGAAGAGGATGAAGGGAAGAAGCCTGGATACTTTGGCGCACTCCTGAGGTAACATGTAGACGAAGTAGCAAGCTAGTGTGCGCTGTGTGGGTCGGGTAAATATTTGTGTTGCTAAGCAAAAGTCCAGTGCAAGTCCAATTGCAGAACTACTTGTGTTGGCGTTGCCAAATAAATGATGAAAACAGACAAATCATAATCTGTTGTAGCTTATTTAACTGATATGGTGCTCGTAGAACTGTTGTATAAAAGCAATATCACACTTGAGGTCGTGATGTTGTACTGAACATTAGCATGGCTGTGATTGTCTTCGGTACTCTGCCTGCGTCCTTGTACCTATGACCCGTTCACAGTCGTGCTGATATTGAGTACAACATCACGAACTCGAGTGTGATATTGCTGAACTGTGTGTTTGCTACAGAGATAATATATAGGTGCAGCCATAATGCATATAATAGAGATTTCCACTGTTAGTGTTATCATTTGTGTTGCTTTTCAGTTTAGAGTTAACATAGGATGTTAATGGCTGTCTAAAGGCATCACCATCAAGTAGGAGCTGTTTTCAAAACGCACTGTGTGAGGTCACATTCTGATGTTTAGTAGTCTGCTCGGATAAATAGTAGGAACACAAACCTGCAAACACATTTATCTGTGACATGGTGAACAGGCAGTGACTAATATTCTAGATTTTCAAAGGGACATTTGAAGGCGGTTGTGGAGGGAGAGATGTGATACAGTTGCTGCCTTAGGTCAAAGAGAAGGGAAAACGTCATGGATCAGAAATAAGGGGGAGCTAGTTATTACAGGTTTGGCGCTTTTCAACTTGGTCAACGGTTGGAGCAGCTGTGACTGTGACACACGGCTCATGGAGGCAATTGGGGTATTTTAAAATCTGCAATTTGTGTCAAACATTGTACCAACTCCCTCTTGGAGTCATAACTTAGACAAATCTGTAAAGAAAGACATGATCTACATATTTTTAAATTTGTAGCCCATAGTTAACATTAGCTAACTATCTCCATGGCAATAATGTGCTTCATGTTTACAGCCCCAAATTAATGGAACTGCAATTCCAAAAATTAAAGCATGAATTAAAGGATAGACAAAGAATGATAATGACAAGGAATGACAGAATCTATTAATATTAACTTGAAACAATTTGAAAATGTCGACGAGGGTGTGTGCATGTGTGCGTGCGCACGTAGATGTGTGTTTGCGTCCTTAGTATGATCCTCTACCGCTGTGCCCGCCAGCTGTTGCATGAGAGGCTGATATGTGTGTGTTTGTGAGATCATATGAGCCTAATCACCTCTTCCTCTTGATAAATACTTACCAGAGACAGTGTGGTGATTAACTAAAGTGGCAGCTCTGGATATGCTGGTCTGTTTCACACACCCTCCCCTGCCATCAATGCTGGTTTCTGATTACTGGCATTTAACTGACCTCCCATCGGTCTGCTTGCTTTTTGGTTTCTTAATCCAGTCATTTTCATACTGCAGAGCTCCGGGGTTTGCTTGGCAGACGTGTTTGCGTGCAAACACATCCACACATACACACAGTGGTAAGAAGGAGTTAAAGCTTAATTGCTGTCAGTGGCAGTACAGATGGCTGCATTAACTGAAGTTAAAATGACCCATTTGTAAAACCTCTTGTGTAACTCCCCAGGACAGCCCCATACTGCTGCTGCTTTCATAACTCTATCTGGATCTATCCGAGAACGACAGGGAACTACACAGTGTGCATCGCCCCTCCACTCTCTCTCTCTCGTGGAAATCATGATCCCGAATTTCCAGGTCTTTTGGGAAAAAAAATAATTTCTTGCGCTCATGGAATCACCTCTGTAGTGATTTATTACACACTTTGGGGATCACCTCAGTGATAATTTATTATACTCTGTGCCTGTGCTATTCTGGGACAAACTTCTGCTCTCCTGTGGAAAATCACAGGAGACAACTGTACCTTTGGTGGTTTGAGAATAGACCAAAGTTTCTTACACTATACTATAGGTCAGCACCAAGGAAAGTTCATGGGTATGTTTTTGAAGAGTTTTAATGGGTTTTAATACAATGAAAGAAAGTATCCAAAATGAACCTGGACTTCAGACTCTTTATGAATTCATTTTTGTCTGCACATTTTAATCTGTCCTTAACCTACCTGCTTGTCATTCTTTTTTTCAGCACAAACTCAGCTCAGTATAACTCTCTTAAATTGATAAAATGATGAGTCAAAGTATAAATCTGCCAAAGAACCCACAAGAGAAGAAAAACGACACAGGCGCTTGTAACAATTTACATATCTTGGTGATAATCACTCAAAATATAATTATAGAACAGTTGTGGCAGACAGCCATCAAAATTTGACTTTAATCTATTTGGGTTCTGACAAGGTCAAAGTCTACAAAATCTAGTGTCAGAAGAGGGTCAGTCAAATGATCAGCAGTGAAAACACTTGCTGCTGTACCGCTTTAGCTTTACTTCTTGTTTCTTAACATAGAGTTTCATTTCATCTCTCCAGCTTCAGTGACATGGAGGATTTTTCTAGTTTATTTGGACATGATGTTATTCCCTTGTAGCTAATCTCCATGTGTCCTCTGTGTGTCCTCTGCAGGGCGGTACGGGCGAGGTGTCGCAATTCAGACCATCATGCCCTTTGCTCTGGCAACAGGACAGGAAGTGTGTGTGTGAGCGTCCCTGGTTGGCTCTGCTGGGATGAACATGCCACTGCACCAGATCTCTGTCATCCCCCGTGATGTGACCTCATCGCGGGTGTCAGGCAGCGGGAAAGCTAAGGACAAGGACAAGCAGGTATGTGAAGAGTTAAACAGCCAGATCAGGTCACATTATGGGGTGGTTTTATCCCATAAAGTGTAATTTTTGTATCCTACATTAGCAGGGGTGAATTCTGATCTTGGCCCCACAAACTGATTTGCGGACTAATATCACACATATTTGATCATTCTGACCCAACTTTTACACGCACATGCACATGCACTATGTCGTCTGGAGGGAACGGACTAAGGATGTGTTGTGTTGTTTAATTTGGATGACTTGTTGAGACATACTCCATTATATTTAAATTGATCATTATTTACTTTTTAAATGTGAATGTAGGAATGATGAAAATACGCTATTGATGAGACTGTCTGCATACATTTATTAAAGTTGCATACATTTATTAAAGTTGCTTAATATTTAAAAGAAAATAAGATGTGTTATTCTACAAAGCATTATGGTCTTTTAAAATGACTGATTGCTACATTAACACTTAACTGCTCGTTTGCGGCTCGCTTCCTGCAGCAGTACCTCGACTTCAGAACTATTAAAGTTCCTTTTGTGTTTTGATTCCGGTGCTACGTCTTTAGATTTTTGTTTTGCTATTTTCTCAACTTTCCCTTACGGTATCTCTTTGGGACTTCTGTCTGTGTCTGCACACGACCCTTCAGTCTCATGCCCTTTTAAGGGCATTTTCGGGCGTTTACCTATGCCAATTAGGCCCAACTGGCACGCTTTCAATATACGAGGAGATTGGCATTCATCAATCTAAGAACAAAGGTGTGCACAATTCTACGGTTTAAGAACACATTCATGAATCTGACATAGAGTTTTCTTAAGAACTTTCTTAAGAATTTAAGAAAGAATTTAAGAAAATACTTAAGATATTGGTGAATGAGGCCCATTGAATATTTCCATTTCAGCACCACATTAAGTTATTCTCTCCTTACTTTCATACATACACCCACAGGAAGGAATTTTTGCCAGATGCCTTAAGAACTTCAATATCATGTATGTTCCTTTTATTATTTATTGTGTCCGTATTTTTAAACTTGGGTTAACAGTGTGAAATTTTTATTTATAAAACAGTTTGCTGCAAAAAAAAAAAAAAAAAAACGGAAATATAAACCTACTGAATGCACTGAAGATTGGTGGGAATATCAGCTAGATGTCAGACAAAAGCAAATGGGTTTGAATTCTAAATGACAAAAGTCTAACATTGTCACGGTGGTGAGAAAGTCACCCCAGGTGTGCCATAGTTTTTCATCAGAGAGCAATCAGAAAGTTATTTTTTTAATCCCAGGGGTGTCAATCCCAACACAGCAAGATAAAGTCTGCATTACAACGTTTCTCTCATTTCTGCACTGCCTGTGGGTTGAGCAGAGGTTTTGCATCTAATGAGATTGGTCAAAGTCTGGTCTGCTTTTCCATTTGTGCCTAAAACTGCCTGTGGGCCATCTGGTTTTGCAGTTACTGTATGTGGTCAACTTGTAAAGGTGCATAATTCATGGTGATGGATTTATTCATGATAGTTTGTAAATTGTCGTCTACTTCAAATGTACAAAATGAATCAGTAAAATCACCAGTTTAGGGCACTTTTGTATTATCTCTGTAGGTTTTTTTTTTATAAGATATCTAGTTTTCACACAAAAATCTGAAATTTGGAAACACTGAGATCTATCAAAATTAAGGCCTGAACCAATCCATCTGGTCGCTGCTCATACAGAAGAGAATTAGTGCCACATCTGAAATGCTCATCTGAGCCTCTCACAGATTTTGACTCTTGTCTCTGAATTTTTTTCATTATGAATTACTAGGATTTTTTTTTATGTCTGAGGTAGTTATCACGTTTTATTTGTTAGTATTGAAAAAAAAATCAGGTGAAAGATTTACATTTACAGTTATATTTACTCATTTGGTAGACGCTTTTATCGAAAGCGACTCCCAAGTGAGGAACAACGTTCAAGCTTCAGTACAATAGGAGACCTTGGAGTAAGCAGTAAGTATTAAATCTACTTTAAGACAACTAGACAAAGTGCAAGGAGATCAGGTAACATGTCTTAACAGGCACACTAATTGTTTGGATGTTAGAGGTGTTAGGAGAGGAGGTGTTCAAAAGATTCTTGAAGATAGAGAGGGACGCCCCTGCTCTGATAGCATTTGGTAGCTTGTTCCACCATCGGGGGAACCACAGACGAGAATGGTCTGGACTGTGACTGCCTCGTGTGCAGGGATGTCAATGCCTGACAGCATTCCCTGGTAGAACGCAGTGTCAGAACAGGAGCGCCTCTATGATCAAGTTCAAGTAGATGGGTGCAGACCCAGAAGTCAATCCTGAAGGCAAACATTGACTGGAATTTGATTCTGGCGGCCATGGATAGCCAGTGGAGGTCAATGAGCAGCGGAGTGACATGTGCCCTTTTAGGGTGATCGAAAACCAGACATGCCGCCGCATTCTGGATGATGTGCAAGTGTTTCACGGTGCATGAAAGCAGGCCTGCTAGAAGGCCGTTGCAGTAGTCGATGCGAGAGATAACCATGACCTCTACCGAGAGTTAGGGTGGCATACGGAGTCGGGTAAGGACAAATTTTTCTTATGTTGTATAATGCAAAGCTGCACGTCCGGGAGACAGATGCTACATTGACTGAGGAGGATAGCTGTTCATCAATCATGACACCCAGGTTTCTTTCAACCTTGGTTGGGGTGAGAGATGAAGAGGTAATTTTTAATGTTGATATTGCGATGGAGACATTGATTGGCAGTCTCGGACCATGACTAAATTCTGTTCTCAGTCTCACACATATCGCTTATCAATCTTTACTTTCCCTTTCTATTTCTGTTCTCCAGCACCAACAAACACCGCAGTGAAGTGCTCTCAGAGTGCAGTTGCTTTTTTGAGCTCTGGAACAAAGGGAGGTGCTGAGACAATATGTCCATGGTCTGCCCTCTCTCCTCGGCCTCATTAGATCACAATAGAGCCTGGGTGCTAAGTGCAGCAGCACAGGTGTTCTTAAGAGGCTTCTTCATGCTGCATATGGCGCCGTGTTTCAGCCTCCCTGTACTGTGCAAGTGATAGTACACACAAGCTGTAAATTGGCACCAACATATGTTTTTTTACTTACACACACACCTCACTGATGATTAATTTGCTATCCTTATCTGTACTCACTGTGGAACTCCAAATCATGCCTTGTCATTGCAGAAAGTAAACTTGGATTAGTTCCAAAATTGGTTTCACATCCTGCTGTTAAATAAAGATGTGGGTTTGTTTGGATACCTTTGGTACAATGCATGCTTAACAGGATAGTCCTAGTCTGTCATAACAAGGTTATCTTTGTTTGCTGGGGAATGGAAATGAAACTGTAAGCTTTCCAATGTCTGGGGGGGGGGGCAAAAGTGTAAGGATCTAGCCCTGCGTCTCTGTGCTCAGCATCACTCTGTACCTCTGTCTGTCTCCTGCTGGCTAAGCCTCCTTTTTCCCCCCTAAAAATAAGTGGATAAACAGTTGCAATTCCCATCCTCCCTGTGGGACCATCAGCAGAATGGAGAAACAGAATGGAGGGGAAAAAGGAGAGGGAGAACGGCAAGCGTTTACTTTGAATGCTGATCAGCTTCAGGGTCCTGGAAGTGTGTGTGTGTGTGTGTGTGCATGTGTGCGCGCCCAGAGCTTAGTCACAGAGCACAGGCCCATCTGGCCCTCTTAGACAACACAACTGGTCTTTTAGCGCCTCAAGAAAAAAAAACAGAACTTTCCTCTACTTAGAATTCAGAGTTAGTCAGCTGCTCCTTTAGAGACCAACACTTCTTTAACTGTTGCTGGCCCCTCCCTGGCCTCTCTCCTCCACTCAAGTTCATTTGTCTTCTTTAAAATCCTCTTTGGATATGTGCTTGTGGGCATTGTGTCCATGTGCTGTGGTCCTTCACTTGAGAACTCATATTTGGGTAGATAAATTGAAGTTTAAGAAACATTTTTACTTCCTGCAAAAAAAAGAAAAGAGAAGAAAAGAAAAATTCCCTTATAGTTCTCAGCCTTGGCAAATAATACGGTCAGATTTGTTTGAGTCTGGGGTTTTTGATAAGAAGTGCAGCGAATGGATTATGCATGAGTTGACAATAAAGTAAGCTCTGGCACAGGTTGGCAGGTAGGGGAGGAGAAAAACCAAACTCGCTTTGCTGTTTGAGATTTATAAGTCACGTGGTGTGTCTGGGGAAATGCATACAGTGTTTGTTTATTGATTGTTGTATCTCTTCAACATCATCTACAATGTCACTCGCTGCCATTTTTACTGTAAGTTATTTAAATAAGCAGCATGTGATTACATCCAGCAAAATATAGCAAAGCTTCAGTGGACACAGCTGTAGCTTTCATTTTCACAGTCACACATTCGTTCGTGCTAGTCTTATATTTAGCAGCGTATCTTTGTGACTGTGCACAAACGGAACACTGTGATACTCGATATCCGCCCTTTTGATGCTGCATGTATTTTTTATGAAAGCACAGAGTGCTGGGAGCTTTGTCCTTCAATAAGAGTGTGTCAGAGTCAAGGACAGAGAAGACTCCCTGTCGGTGCTCTGATGTTTGGCGGTTTGATAACAGTCGCTGCTGCAGTGCTCCTGGGCTCTGATGGAGCATAGCTGGGCTTTGTAGGGACCAACATCAAACACTGACCGCCCCAGCAGAAACTTCCAACACAGCCTCCAGGCTAGACAGGAAGTGTTTAATGGGCTTGTCTTTGCTTATTTAACTAAGCACTTTTAGCATATTGACAAAACTTGTTTTTGTTCCTTGAATGTCCTACTGTTTGTTCACCAATTGAAACAGCATCCTCACATTTTTGATGTACTTGAAGCAGTTTGGCTGCAATGGTACATAGAACCCAGCACTTTAAAATCCCGCTCAAACACTGTTCGATTAAATTCTACAAATGTGTTTAGAAAATATTTGAAAATATATTTCTCAGACCCGGGGCAAGGAAACATTTTCCAAACATTTGGTGGATCTAAACTGTCCAAATCAGTCCATTCCAGATTG